TGTGCTGCCAGATACCATTCCCTCACTCCTCTGTTTGTGCATATCCATTCTCAGACCAAAAGCAGAGCGGCTTGGAGAGTCTATGCTGGGCAACCCACCCTGCCCCTGCTCGTGTTGAGAACAATGGGGAAATGAAGTGTATCCGAATACACACCCTAACGAGACGGCGCCAGAGGCAGTGGACAGAGCCTGCGAACCAGGCCCAAGCTCTCACTGAGCTGCAGTTAACACTTAGCGTTTGGGTTATGCTGCCGTCGGATGATTGCAGAGGCGCAGCTGCCACGGGGGAGAGGTCAAGGGCTTTCCCCAGCTCTGAGCATCCTGCACATCTGTGATGCGCACCTTGGAGGTGTCACGGGAGAGCACTTCTCACCACGTTCCTTATGCATGCAATGCTGGGACGCGTTCCTTAAGGGCAAGAACGAACTGAGACAGGGTACATTTCCATGCCATGACTTTGTAAAACTGCTTCTGCAACGTTCCCAAGGACTGGATCCATGGGGGATTGGAGAGGAAAATGCAACAGGGTACTCTGTGTGCGAGGGGTGGTTGTGGGATAGCCACGTCCTGCACGTGCTCATGTGCATCAGGCAAGCAGCGGCAGCACAGGGTTCTTCATGACTCACCTGTGCTCATCTGGCAAAAAGCAAGGGAGGAAGGGAGCCCAGAATAACCCTTCAGAGCTGGCTGAGGTTTCCAGCTGGTTTATTGATCAGTGGAAGGTAACTCGCGACCAAACCATGAACATAAAAAATGTGTGCACGATTCAGAGCAAACCAGTGAGGCATCAAGCAGGCTCCCTTCATATTTGGGCAGAGCTCCTCGGTGTGCCTCCTGTTACAGCAGGGAGTGGAGATCAGAGAGACCAGGCAGGGGACCAATTTCCAGAGGTTGCCTGTGCTGCCATCCTGCAAGAAAGGAAGAAAGGTTCATGTCTGGAGCTTGAGGAACCTGGGTCAGCATCCAGACAGGCTGCGTCTCAGCTCCCATCACACGCTTCTCCCTGCCAAGCAGCACTTGCATTTCTCTTCCCCTTCTGAAGCACGGGTTTCAGTTAGCAGCGGCTGGGGCCTGGGTATGGGCAGGAAATGGCTCGAGTCACCCTTAACACTGCAGGACAGGATGCAACACCGTCCATCCTTTTCATCTGTTTGTTCAGGCTGCAGGGAGGGACTGTTTGTAGGAGAAACGAAAAACTTGGTTCAGAGACAATACCTCTTTTTTTCGGGGAGAGGCATTCATGCAGACAGCAGCCTGTGGCAGTGGCCATGCGGTGCCACTGCAGGGCAGGGATGTTCAGGGTGAGTCAGCTGGGGTAAAGGAGCTGCAGGTAGCTCCATGGCCTGGTGATTGTGACCTTGTGTGGGGTGGCCCCAGCCTGGTGCCCTTGGCCATGCCCTCAGCTGTGTCTGCCCTGGCATCCCAGAGCCATCATGCCTGGGCCACAGGAAGAGTCCCCTGTTCTGCAGTGTCACCCTTCACGTCCACTGACAATAGGAGCCGGATCTATTTGCCCCTTGGTCCAGGGGTGACAGTAGCTGCCTGTTATTTGCAGAAGCCCAAGCAGCAAGGCCTGCACAGCTGAGGCATTGGAGCTGGACTGGACATAAAGGGGGGTTGGGGTCAGCCCTGCATCCCCCCTCTGGGCTTCTCTGATTCAATGGGTGTGCTGATACCCAGTCACCTGCAGGCTGGGCTTTCTCCTGCTCATTTTTTACCTGACTCGCACAGCCTCTTGCTTGCATGCGACCAGGTAGACCAGGCCTGTGAAGTCTGAACAGGTGGCTGCAGCAGACTGCTGAGTACTTGATGTCAAACCCAGCATCTCTCATGACTTCCTCCACCAACTCCTGGTCCAAGCATAGGACGGAGAAGCTGTGCTTGCCAACGGTGTAGGTTGCTTTTAGAACCGCCGCTATCGCCAGGTGCCCCCTCACCTGCACCAGGGAGCTGATGTTCTCGGGCCCACGGACATGCCATGATTTTTGCCCTTTCATGCCCTGCAGCTGCGTGTCGGCTTGCACAAGTGGGATTTCCTGACACTTTAAAAGTCTTTCTTGTGCATTAAACTAAAACTCCTCAGACGTCGTTTAGTTTGGTTTGCCAGGAATTAACGAATCCGCGGACGTGATGCTTGTGTGCAAACTCAAAGGCACTCAAAGACATGTACTGAGCCTCTTTGTCCACTAGACGACACTGCAACTTCTTGTAGTTCACCCCTTTGAATTGATTTCACTTTCGAATTGCTTCCACCTTTGTGGCTTTTTTCTTCTTGCTGTTTGCCGGCTCCCTGGCAATTATGTCCCCAGCAGACTGCCTGCTCGGCTCACTGTGCTTGGACCCTGCCTATAAAGTACCTTTTGCATTGCCCTGGAGAATATGAGATCCCTGGTAGAGCCTGGCGGGCAGGGGTGCACCTGGCGATGCTGATAGCTCTGAAAGCAACCTGCTGCATGGCTGCCCGGTGCA